GCGTACCGACGTACTTGTGAAGCTTTTCCAGAAGACGGTTAGATCACCGGACGACAGAGTCGGTCTCCGTGTGCACAGACAGGGCTGCTGTTAACGTCGGTCTGTACAACGGAATTGTGCCAAAACTACGCCAACCGGCTGCGGAGGGAGATTCCCTCCCTTCACTGGAGAACTGCGCTAAAACAGGTGATCACAACGTTCACACACTCTGTGGTCACGAAGTACTCCACTAGCGCCCCCCCCCGTCGACTTTCCTGAAGTACTCCCCCGTTGATAGAAATCAACACGTAATGAATTAAGACCCCACGGTTTGATGATTGATAGGTGTGTGGGCTGTCTTTCATTTTGACACACAGAAAAATGTTATAATAAACATACATACTTATGTTAAATGGATATATCCGCCGTCTTTCATTTATCTTTCCATTCCACAACAATATACATAAAGAAATGGCATATTTTGGAAATAGTTTGAATGGTGATTAATCTGATTAATTAATTTTTAAGCTGTGATTAATCTGATTAAAAAATGTAATCGTTTGACAGCCCTAATTTAAGTACATTTAGGCAAGGCAAGTTTATTTATATAGCACCTTTCAACACAAGGCAATTCAAATTGCTTTACAAAAATGAAAGACATTTAGAAACCTGAAAGAGAAAAAAGAAAAAACGTTCCTGTAAATAAATGTATTACTTCCTCTTCCATGCTGCTCATGCTCACAGGAAGCGTAGTGTATATTGTTTACAGCACAGCTCCAGTGGCGGCATGTGTTCTCTGCGTACTGTATATGCACCACAGCTGTCTGTACTGATGTATATAAGGGAAGAGAGACAGCTGTAGTAAAACCAGCAGCGGTCTGGGGAGGAAGTCCTTCAGCGACTTCATTTCTGCTTTCCAAAAAAAAACTTCAACCGCAAAACTTTTTCATTTCTATTTTTCAGTTTGATGTGTTATTTAGTGCAAAATCTGGGTCTGAATAAAAAGCCTTAAAGCTGCTTTCTCTTTCATATCCTGCAGAAGTCAGATGTTCTTGAAGTCTATGAGCAAAATGTAAGATGGCAAAGCCCAAAAAAAACAAGATGATTGCGACACGTAAAATAAAAGGAAAAACTAAAACAAATCCAATATGGCAACAGCTATAAAGACAAGAATGCAACAGTCAACAAAATACCAATAAGGTGAGTCCCCCAAAACACCATGATGTCAAAGAAGAAAACAAACCCAGATTGCAACAGTGGAGAATCCAAGATGGTGACACCATAATATCCTTGTTGGCCAAGGGAAGAAGAAAGAAAGAAAGATGGAACTTAAATGAAATCCAGATCTCCACTTTTTTCGTTTTGTATACATGTACACATATTTTTTTGTTCTACAGTGACATACAAATACACACCCTTATATATGGCTCGATCGGGACGTGAGCCAGCGACCCTTTGGTCCAAAGTCCAAGTCCCTACTGACCGATCCAACATGGTCCAAGAAGATGGTCACAACCACAACCCAAGATGTGTTTAATCAGATGTTTGTTTGTTTTAAACCCGACAAACAAACCTGATCTATAGATAGCATAACCACATATTCATGTATTTGTTGACTTGCATCACAGCAGCTCCATGTGTAACATCAACATGGACACATATCAAGACACATGACAAACACACATTTCACATAACAGCACAATCACTGAGAGAAAACCTGCTCATGAGAGAGTGTGTGTGTGTGTGTGNTCAGAATCAAGATAACGGCGTGGTGTTGTTGCAGGAAGTCCCGACGGAGAACATAACCTGCGTACCAGTTATGTGCACGGCTGTACTACAGCAAAAGTATTCTCCGTCGGGACTTCCTGCAACAACACCACGCCGTTATCTTGATTCTGACATTATCAAAGATGTTCTATTGAGAAGACGATCACTACGTGACAAAAGTTTTCAAAACCGTTTCTGGTCTTCGTTATTTCCAGACAAGTGGCTACTGAAATCAATTTTACTAACTGCTGTCTGTGCAATTCTCGGCGCGAGTTGGCGGACTTTATTTTTGCCTACTTTAACATCATTTTTCATCTGCACATGCGTTAAATGCGTTAAATATTTTAACGCAATTAATTCAAAAAATTAATTAATGCCGTTAACGCGATAATTTTGACAGCATTAATTATTATATACATTGTTCTGAAGCGGGCTTTTCTGTGTCATGAATAGCTACTTTTTTTGGTAACCTCTTTCAAGATGTTCCCTGTGGTTCCAGAAATATAACTTCAAAAATGGAAACCACTTTTTTAGCAAGAGCCAGATTTGTTTTTGGAGTTTACCCAGCAGAGGTCGCTTTAGCTCTTATTGTTCAGATTTGTCTGGTGTGAGTCAGTTGGTTTTACACACTGTATATTTCTTAGTGTGAGGGTTAAGTGAATATATTAGTAATCTCATGTGGTTTGTTTTTCAGATAAACCTGCAGAAGACTCTAAACATTTATGAATCTACTTATGGTGAGCATGATTTACACTTATTAAAGGTATGTCCAGTTTATAAACACATGCAGATGTTAGTCAGTTTCTTGTCATTTATCCGTCAAGACCAGAGAGATAGTCTCATAACTTATAAAATTCACTATTAATATTAATATGAAATCAACTTTTTGATGTATTTTACTTTAAAATGTTGTTTTCAGATATTCAAACAAATCTTAATGCATACAATAAAGTACATTTGTATGTATTAACTGTATCATATGTATGAATAATTTTATTTTCACTCCTGCTCTTCTGTGGCAAAGTTGCTAAATCATAAGTCTGTGTCACGGCCAGAGTAATTGTGCTTCAGGCAAACTTCCTGCAGCTGTTCCTTCAACCCACTTCTGTTTTTAACTTTATTAGCTTTTTCTCACATCCCCTTTTACATCAAAAAGCATACTTTTCTTATACAGGAAGTTACAGTATTGATAAGGATTTATATATATAAACAAATCATCATTGAGTATGTTTAATGATAAATCCAATCAGACTCAAATCATAATAAAAACAACACAAACAATAACCAACAAGTATTAAATCCTTCAATTGTTAATGTTAATGGCCCTCTTTAGTGTTTTTCTTTTTATCAATCCATTACAAGTTCCCTCTTCTAATCTCTTATTATGTATGTTTTCCCTGAAGTTCATCTTTTCATCCAGCATGCAGTGGAATCCTTTTAAAAACATCTCATTGTAATTTCTTCCTTTGCTGCTTTAAGTAGGATTTGTAACAGGAACATAATTGTTTTCCCCCCGAAAAAGTCAAAGTCAAGTCCAAGTCAACTTTAATGTCAATCTTACTCAGTTTGTGTTTACAGACAGAGACGTTTCCAACAATCCCGAATATACAATTATACAATATACAGATATGTAAAAATATGTATAACATATGTCCTATATACACAATCAACAGACACATTTACACACACATTAAGATAAAAAACGCAACAATCAATATATACAAAATTACAGTCACTTCAATATCAATATCTTTGTTGCAATATTGTCCATAGAATGTGCATTTATTGCAGATTGTCCATAGCAGCATCTATTGAATTATCTCACTATAAATACGCCCAAATCATCAACATAAACATCTACCTTACACAATAATGCTAACAAAAACAGATCAACAGTGGACTTTGGCTCTTTCCAAACAGTTTGTGTTTCCTGCCAGCCCGTGTTTGTTGTGATGCACCAGCTGGTTTCAGTATGGCTGATGAACTGTGACCCTCTCCTCATTTCACATGGTACTTATTGAGAGCCCAAACACTCCTAACACCTGCTAGTGATTACAGCAGGCATGCATGGGAGTGTGGTGCAACCTAACCCCGGGATAGTCTCTGTTTCTGGAGGTCTGGAGGGAGGTCAAGGTCCACTTCGCTTACTGTTGACCAACATCCTTTACACATGGCGTTTTCCCAGGATTTTATCGCTGACGCTGAGCAAGGGTTAGAGGTTACTTTCATTCACTGTGGAGGCCCTCTGCACACACTGGGTTACACAAGAGATCTCAAAACAAAAGTTAATGTTACTGCTGCTGCGGTGGCGTGTTGCAGCCGCTCTGCACTGTTTGTCAGAGCCGTGAAATGCCACTGTAACTTGAGCAAATTAAAGAAAGCTTATAAAATGGTGTTGAAACTGATTAAAAAAGCAGGTTTTGAAACCTGCCAATTACACTGCACTGGAAAAAGTTGAGCCATAGTGGATCTACTCCCGTGAGAAACATGGTTTAGTGAAAGTCGAAAAATTCAAGGGTGGGTAGAGAAACAGAAGTACTATAAAATAGAGTCAAAGTTAAAAAAACTGTCGTAAAAAAACTATTCCAGTACTGAGTGATTTCATTAGAGGCATTATATTCCATCCATGGATTACATGCATACAGTTTTATCAGCAAGTACGAACAAACATGCAGAGAAAAAGTGTCTCACCAGCAGCATCAGACAAACGTCAAAAGGGTTTAATTTCTTATTTAAAAAAAGAGGAAAAACATCATGAATCCTCAAAGAGAGCCTTGAATGAAGTCTGCAGTGTGTGTTTGCTGCATGTACTCTGCTGTCATTGAGGTAGTGCTGGGAAATGTCTAGAGGTAAATATATTGGAAACAAATGGCTAGAAGTGTGTTGCCTCGTATCAAAGTACAGTAGGAGTAGGTATAGCAATTAGTACTAAATAGTCATGGGTAAGTCCCATATGTTTTATTTCAAATGTACTTCAGTAAAACATTTTCTGCAACAAAAAAAAAATAAGGAAGTACATACAACTGAGTTAATATAAAGTACTATTATCCACCGCCTGAAGACTTTGTTCAAACCTAATTACGGAAAATGTACTAAATCAGTTAAGCAAAACTGTCACACAATGCTTTTGTCACAAGAGTTCAGAGAAAGAGATCGCTCACATGATTTCTTTTCTGCAGGTTAACAAAGGACACACAGTGAACAATGCAGCGATGCCGACGTGGACGATCTGACCGTCCTCCAATCATCCGGCAGCATCTGTGACCACGGGGACTCATTTGACTGCCAGGAAAATACATCACAACACTTCAAGGACACTTTCATTGCTACAGTAAAACAATCAACAAGAAGAACTTGTTCTTAATACAGTGGACAACATATGGACTTAAATCTGCTTAAATAGTGACTGTCGGATCAGTGTTGTGTCTTTTTAATGTGTGGTTTCTCTCGTGCATTGCAATACTTTTATTTAGCTGACAATGTTATCCCTGGCGAGTTCTAATAAGTGCATTCAATGTGAGTAAAGCCAAAATATTGCAAGAATCAAGCAATTACATTATCATCACCATGCTGATATACTGAAGGTGCCACATTTAGAGACTATAAGTGATGAGAAAGTTTTATTTAAATTTTTTAATATCATGCCCAGGTGCAGTTCGAACAGATGAGTTTTCGGTCTGTGACGGAGGATGTGTAGGTGATATGATTGATTTAGAAACTGTCAAGTAGTAATCTCTAATAATCCAATAATAATAATGCAGAGTATTTTCTGCCTCGATGAATCAGACAGTTAAAAGTTTAAAGAACACGGTGTAGCTACCAATTATCTTTTCTGTATTCATACTTTTGAAAAAGTATGTTGTCATCTTAAAGCTAATGTAGTGTTAACTCCACACAGATATGACTGCTGTCGGCCCCTGAACGCCTCTGTTGTGTTTCACTGCCCCTGAACGCCTCTCTGTTGTGTTTCACTGCCCCTGAAAGCCTCTCTGTTGTGTTCACTGCCGGTCCCTCCAGCTGCAGGTTTTAACTGGGAAATATCCTGTTGAGGAACGCAGGCATGCATGACAGAGGGCCACTCCTTTTCATGCCTGTGCGGAGCTGCTGAGGAGAAAGTGTGTTTTATTCAGAGACTGAAATCTCTCTAAGTGTGAAATCAGTCGCAGTCTATTTCGGAGTCTTTTGATAAATGATTACCCGTCGCAGAAAATAACTCTCTAAAAGCTGCTGCTGCTGATAAGATTTCCATCTCTTGCAGTAGATTATACTTTGTGTCTACAGATGCTGTTCGGATGTTTTGTTTCCAGTTTTGGCTTAAAAGTGTTGAATCTAAGCGCTCCTGACACTGATCTTAGCGTCAGTGCAACTTTCTCTACACGTTCATCAGTATTTTGCAGCATCTTGCAGTGTAAATATGAGAATACAGAATACCAAAAGATATTGTTTTTAAGGAATGTAAATATTTCAAATGGGCTGTAGCCCTGTTGTTGTTTTGCTGATGAAGATTTGAATAAAATTTGAATTGATAAAATCTCTTGATAATATCATGATGGTGTTATGACACTAGGAATGGCAATGTTGCTCGATCCGACACCTTATTTTACACTGAGATATAATATAAACTATTAACTGGATATATTTAACTTATGTACAGACGTTTAATGTTCCATAGGGTAAAACTCTTCGATTAATTGCTAAAAGATCATGACTGTACAGCGTTCATGCCCCTCAATCAATTATAATATAAAAGTTGTATTTAATGTACAAACTTGGTGATGTTTTGCATTTCATCTATAGCAGGTCAAATGTTTACTTTTCTTTATGACCTAATACTGTACCTGCAAAAATAGGTGTAAGTTGTACTACATGCTAGTTAGCACTTTTGCTAATGCTCAGATGAAGAACGGTGGTATGGTAAACCTGTTACACATATTCATCTTACTAAGGCCATCGTGAGACGGGTGACATTTGATCTCAAAGCACAATTCGATTCTTAGTCTTGTACATGGTGTCTTATGTAGAAAACCTACATTATTTGTTCTAAATAATAAAGATTAATAGTGTAGTCAACTAATTTAAAACCTTTTAATTCTTCATAATGGTTTGAAAATAACAGAACATTAGATACAAAACATCAGGTTGAAATTGTCTTTTATCTGTTCAATATGAGCTCTGAATGTCTAAAGGAATTCACATCAGTGGCGGGTCTGAGGGAGCGAGAGCAGACAGGCCGTACAAACCAATGAATACAAATGAGAAAGAGACTCGCTCCATTGTCTCTCTTTCTCTCATCATTAGATTTCTAGACAGCATTTTAATGTCTCGCCTGGTGAGGTCTGGCAAGGCAAGGCAAGGCAAGGCAAGTTTATTTATATAGCACCTTTCAACACAAGGCAATTGAAGGTGCTTTAAAAAAATGAAAGACATTCAGACAAAAGCATTTAAAAACAGTCATTAAAAAGAAAAGATAATAAAAGAAACATTAAAAGAAAAAATACATGAATAAAAAGTACATGAATAAAAAAGTACATGAATAAAAAGTTACAGTGCCTCTGCTGACTAAACAGGCATACAAGGAAACACTGAGGCACCTTTTACACAGATATTTCAAGCCTGTTTTCTTTCGTTTGGAAGTGATTTAGGTATCTGAAATCATACCTAAACGTTTGTCTGGTTACATTTTAGACCTGTTTCTATTTCCTGTCACGTTTTTAATAGATTTCAAAAATAAGAAATACTAACCTAAGTGCATTGCGTGAATATGATTCAGTGAAACTCTGGGGCGATTTGATAAAAATACATAAATAAGAGAATATAAGTCATCGAATGAGAGCAAAGAATATTGGTTTACACTTTTTAAAATATAATTAAATAAAAATGTGTTGTCAGGCCAATCATGAAGAAACTGCTGCTTAAGACAATATGTTGGTCTTCTGGTTTTAAAGGTATTGGAGGCAGGGAAAATGTAATCGTTTGTGGGGAACTTCTCCACAGTTTTGGGCTAACAGAAAATGCTCAATAACGTTTCTTTCTTCACTTGGTGTGTTTAGTGATCTGCAGTTTGTAAAAAATAGTTGTATAATGTCTTCTGTGGCCTTGGAGAAGCTCTGTCTGTCTGAAAAAATAACACATTTTGCGTCACGCAGGTTAAAAACTGGGAGAGTTGTATTCTACAACAGTTTGAAATATGTTTACCTGAATCAGAGACTTTTCAGACTCTCTTATGGCTACTTGAGGCATTCTTTCTTGGCTTATTTTTGGTCTTTCAGCCCCACATTGAAGAAGAAGATTGAAGATTCAACTTATTGTCATTACGTAGTACAGGTATGTAACAAAACTGTTTCTCTGCATTTGACCCATCCTAGTGTTAGGAGCAGTGGGCTGCCATTATGTACGGCGCCCGGGGAGCAGTGTAGGGAACGGTGCCTTGCTCAGGGACACCTCGGTAGCACTTGGTCTTTCCAAGTGCTACATGAGCCGATGCATAGCTTGAGATCGTCATTCAGTTATTTTATTTGTTTTCTAGTCTAGACTTAAAAACTTGCAATCAGAGCCCTGAGGTTGCCGAATGACAAGACTGAATAAGTCAGACTGACAATAAAAACAGACTTTTATCAGAGAGTTAACCCTGATTTTAAATGAGTTTTTTGTTATGTTAGTGAACTGGAATTCGTTTTACCCACAGTGTTTAACTCAGGATTGGTGTAATTTGTCCTTTCTTTGTCCGCTTGTATTACAAAATGGCTTTTTACACTGTCTGTTAATAGCCTTGTGGGAAGGAATTACATTTTATTTAAGTGCATTGCAATCAAAATATGGTCCTTTTTATTGTAAGCACCTAAATAAAACTTTAAACCCATTTCGACCTACTCTCCACTCCTACCCTCAGATGCTGTACAGCAGCAGCTGCTGGGTTTCTCTCACTGAGTGCAGGGCGGTGTGAGTGTCATGCACTTCACATTGCGCCAGATTCTAGCTAAACTGGTTTAAATGCCAAACAAGACTGTGGGAAAATATGCACAGAATCTCACACCAGGATGTTTTTGTTATATTTCTGATTTAAGGTACATGAATGCCTCCATATTGAACATTGTATTCAAGAAAAACAGGGAAATGTTTGGATTATTGGAAGTAAATTAGGTTTGTTAAACAGCAGCACAACTATATCAAAACATCTAAAAACTCCCACAAAACTTGCAGGGTAATCAAAGTGTCATTTTTCCAGTCATGTGCTCATTACTTCCCAAAACAAAAAACATACTTTGGCATTAACAGTACTCTTGCACAGGCATGCTCTATGTCTTTGTGAGTGTTTGGAAAAGATGCATGTGATTGGGAAGTTAACATATGACTGAAGAATTGAATCTTGCAATATGCTGCAGGAGTTGTGTGAGAGTTTCTAAACAGATGTCTTGATAACGTTTTGCTGTTGTTAAATGTGGCTCCTCATTACTTCCATTCATCTAGACTTTTTCTCATTTTCTTCCATTCTTTGTTTATCCTGAAGTCATGCAAGAGAAACAAAGTGTTCCTCTCGGATTCCAGCTAACATGCTAATTGTTGAACTGATAGTCATCTTTGTGACTAAAGTATTCCTTTAAAAGCCATGTGTGTCGCAGTGAATAGAAAAGTGATGTAATCCCCTCGAGGATGCAATCATAACATCATATTTTCAGTGACCCGTCTCTGAATTGATCAACCTTTGAAGACTGAATCAGTGCTCCCAGCAGGCCCTGTTGCTGCCACTCGATCAGCTCCATTTCTGTTTGTTTGCCTTCAAGAGCTGCGATGTTACCGAGCATCGTCCGTCTGTCGCAATCACCACATTCAGCCGCTCTTGGGCAATCNCAAACAATACTCAGCCAACAAACTGTAGTTTTCCTTCTCTACATTCTAGCAATGCCTGTGTGCTCATTCTTTGGCAGTGGCAATAGCCATGTAAAGGCGTTTTGGATGAGTTCCTCACACCTGTGAAGTGTCCATAGAAGATATACTATTTGCACAGATTCGGTAAATATATTTCCTCAACTGCGTATATGAAACTAACTTAGAAAAAGTGCTTTCTATCCAAATGTGACCCATAACTCTTGTTGCTCATACAAGTCTGATTTCGCCTCACAATAACTTTTCTCCTTTAATCTCCTTTTTAACATCATCATAGACACTAGTTAAGATGAACATCACAGAGATAAGGTGATTCTCTCATCACTATTGCCACTATTGTCGCTCGGGATATGAGCCTTTATTTTTCCCCACTAGAGTGTCGTCATTTTTAACGTATTTTTTCCCTGCTGGTTTTGCTCTGCCTGCTTGATTGTATCACAAAACTCGTTTGTTGTTCATAAACATTGGTCAAATTTGATTTTACCACATTTCCTTTCTCAATTGATTTTGTCGTTGAATACGAGTAGATATAGAGCACAACCATAACCCTGGTATGAAATTCTATTATAACTTTCACTCCTGGCTTAGTTCGTGTATTGCGAATTGCTCTGCATTTTTTTCATTTTGATGCCATTATGGTATATTATAGATTGTTTAAGCCTGCTCCACTCGACCAATCCGACCAACTTTGTGTTCTTGCTCTGCTAACTTTTTCCCTCAAAGCCCTTTTCTTCCTCACAGCTTTGGTTTCCTCCCATTCCATACCAGCTCTTTGGGTCCCATCTGAGCTGGTTGACATGATGATACAGTCAATGTACAGTTTATGCTAACCAGTCCAATGCTACCGTTTCTGTATGTTTCGATGATTTCCGACTCTCTCTGAACTTTCTGCAGCGTGTCTCCGACTTCACTTTCTTCTTCCGGCTTCCTCCTTCCGCGACTCGTCCCTGTCGTCTCGCACCTTCGTCCATGCAATATGGTTGAGACCATTCGGGCTTATTCTAGAGGGGTGCAAGCTCAGTGACCCGTCTCTGAATTGATCAACCTTTGAAGACTGAATCAGTGCTCCCAGCAGGCCCTGTTGCTGCCACTCGATCAGCTCCATTTCTGTTTGTTTGCCTTCAAGAGCTGCGATGTTACCGAGCATCGTCCGTCTGTCGCAATCACCACATTCAGCCGCTCTTGGGCAATCTTTGAGTGGAAAATACAGCGTGCACCAGGGAGTGAGTGTGTGTGTGTGTGTGTGTGTGTGTGTGTGACTTACTTCACAATATTTTTGAGTTTGCTCCTTTGTAGAGTCTTGATGAGAAAATTGAAAGTGTGTGAAACTTTCCACAGCTTCTTATGAAAGACCGCTTCTTGCACCATTTGGAAAAACATTTGATAAAAACACATCGATCAGGGCTGAAGCTGAGGTCATGTCCTCAAGACATTTCAGCAGGAACTCTAGGGGATCTGAAGCATTTATCTTACATTGTGTGATTGACGGTTACATATTACAGGAATTTTAAATGGTGAGACCAAAGATCTTTTAGACTTGGACATACGTAAACAAAGGAATACATAATTACAATCAAACTATATTCCTTACAAGAATGAAATGTAGGATTTCTAGGAGCTCTTGAAAAAAACGATAAGGTTCCCAGCTC